CACTGGCTGAGGAATCCACCGCCATCCTTGAAAAGAGCAGGTGGAAGGTCGTCAGGAACAGCAGCGCGATGACGCTTGAGTAGAGAAATGCATTCGGACACTTCTGAGACTGAAGGCGGCTCCATGTTTACGGTCCACCTTTCTGTTGAAGGCCAGGTTTCTGGAGTGGTGGCAGATGGCCAGCTGAACTGCTGCTCGAAGTACTGTGCCTAGTGGTCCAAACGCTTTGCTTTGCTGCATATCAGGGAGCCATTTTTTCCCTGTTTATTTCGCTGACAAGAGGTTTTCGAGGACCAGTCGAACGAATCGAGTGGAACAATTTGCGCACGTTTCCAGCATTTTTTGCGTCTTCCATTTCTTCGACTTTTCGGGTCCACCAAGCTTCTCGGTCTGCGCGGACACTCAGTTTCACCTGGAGTCGGATGATGAGCCGGGTGGATTTGTGGTGGCGACCAGATAGAATCTGTCGCCGGGTCTCCAGCAAAGACACGGTTCTATCAGAGATCTAATGCTTGGATGAGATTGGCTGGGTTGTACCGCAAGCAGACGATCCTGCTTTGAGTAGCGCTTTGGATATTTTTTCCCAGTGGCCGTTTATATCCGACACCGTACCGTCCGACAGGCATTCGAGGAGCTGGTTCTGATAGTTTCGCTTGACTTCTGGGTCCACTAGCTTCTCAATAGCTAAGCGAGGTGTGCTCGTTTTGCGTGGCCTTTTCAGATCCATCAGCAAATCTGTGGGAAATGACTGCCTCGATTCCATCGTTGGGTGCATCTGACGCTAGAATGATATCCATGGATGAGCTGTAATGTTTAAGCAGCAGGTCTGACGATGAGTGATTTAACGGTGTAAAAAGCTGATTGACACTGAGGTGACCAATTCCAGGGATAGTGCTTTTTTAGATAATTGAGAGGATGACGAAAACGGTGCATATCTGCTAGAAAAGTACTGTAATAGCTCACCAACCCGAGAAGAGATTGCATTGAGGCTATATCCGTTGGTGGTGTTTTTCAGGTCCGGATGACCACCAGATTTATCAAAAATTTAACCCAAATGTTTGATAGACGTAAGCATGTATTCACATTTCTCCACTAGGAGATGAGATTAGGCGATGAAGGAGTTCTTCCTGATCAAAAACTGCCACAATGATATCCCAGTACGCCACGACGCCTGTTAACCTGTGAAGCATAGCGTCCATGATCTTTTGGGATATAGCTGGCGCCGTTTTGATTCCAAAAGAAAGACGATTAAACTGGAAAAGACCACGGTACGTGTTAATGGTTAGAATATCCTTGGAGTCATTCGTAACTTCGATTTGCGAATAGGCATCAGTGAGATCGAGTTTGGCAAAGCGAGTGTCACCATTGAGTTTGATAAACAGGTACTCTGTAACTAGGAGAGGATACTGATGTGAATCTAGTGTGGCATTCAAGTCCGTGGAATAATCAGCACGAAGCCCGATGTTCCCGTTCGTCTTCTTGGCCAGAAAATGGGAGCTTTCCAGGAAGAGTAGTTGACAAGCTGGGTAACACCGTAATTCTGGAGGCGATCGGGTTCAGCTTCCACAGATGCAAGAGCCGAAGATAGGGCACCGGATAGCTCTTGTTCAAACCATGTTTTTTGGTCCATTTATTCGTCCATTTGTTCCTTGGCGAACAAATCCGTAGCAACCGGGACCACTGCCCTTTGGCCCACGTCTTCTGGCTGAATAACTAGTTGAACTGACTAGCTGTAATCACAATTTAGCCAACCCTGTTAGGTAGGCAGGCGGTGTGAAGTAAACAAACAATGTGAAACGCCTATTCAGAATAAATTAAAACAGTCACTTTTTTGTTTGCGCACAAATGGAACAGTAGGGCAGAGTAGAGGCATTAAGGGACTGTAGTAGCTAGCTTGTTCACGCTTGTTGAATAGAAGAACACGTTACGGTTATTGTACTGTCGGTGATAGACTGAGTCTACACTGCATGGGGAACAAAAGTGTGCTCAGTTTGAGTGCAAATCACGGTAGGGGTGACTGGATTTCGCAGTGGTGGTTGGCCGCATGGGTTTGTTGAGTCGATGTCTCTTGAAAGAGTATAGTGTACCCCCATAGAATTTATTCTGGAATATCCGAGTATGGGTTTGTGTTTACTTTCTAGGACGCCACTAGGCTAGGTGTGTGGGCTCAGTATCACAAAGTGCACTTCTCAGCTGATGTGTGTTTAGTGTGCGTCCGGGGATACCTATCGATTAAATGCTTGGCTGGCTGCGATCTTAACTTCGCATCGGTAGATGAAAGATTCACTACTCAGCAACCCATGTAGCACGTGTATCCGTGTCAGATAAGTGGTTCGAGGTTCAACTTTATACTATCATAGCCGCAGTTAACCGGTTCTGCGAGTTGTTTACGGCCTTAACCACTTGAGCCGATTAAAAATGCGCTCTTATGCCCCCTGACGATTTGATGGGTTGATTACGTCACCGACGTTGAACAAATAACCCATTCATCCACCCATTATTTAGGATAAACCAATCATCATCCGAATAAGTCATCATCATCATTGTCAGCTGTAATAACCTCGTACTCGTCTTACAGTGGTTGTAGCTGCCGCAGTTTCGTTCACCGATGATTTGGGGTGGGGATAGGTAGCTGCGCATTGCAGGCGGGAGATGATAAATTGGTGCATAAATCCAACACTGTCAGTGGACTGTCAAGTGGGGGATTGGGAAGGGAGCTATGCATTGAGGGCAATAGCTTGGATGTACGAGCGCCATTGAGGGCGAGACTGGGCCATGTCTGACAATGTCTCTAACCATTGATGTAGACCGTCTCGGGGTCCCCATCCAGGAAAACGGCAATGACCAGCGCAGCTGAGTTTGCTGGTAATGGCTTTCACAGTTGGACCACGTGGCTGTCAGCCACCGGTGGAAAGCCACAATTCAAGACTGCCGTTCCTTCTGGGGCACGCCACTTGATTCTTTAAAAGCCTCTTTCTTAATGTCTTTCGACCAGATGTACTTCTCAGACTTTCTGGTTCCAGTTGCGCATATCTTCAAGATGTTGAGGTGTTTTTTTTTCATTGAGCATTACTATGCGTTAGCTGGAACAAACTCGTTATATTACTTGACGGTAGGTTTTCGTGTATTTTCAAAGATACTTTTCAAGTCGTTGGACGTCAACGCGCTCCAGGTTGGATGCCGTATTCGAGCACTAGTAGGTTGCTCACATGAACAACGTAAGCAGCGTTACCTGCAAAACCAATCGTTAACATCTGCCTATAGGACCGCTTAGTGGAACAAATGGAAGTGTTACTGTAGACGGCCAGTGTAAACGAAAAATACTGGTTATATTGAGGTAACTATGATGTATTTATATCGAGGAGTGGAGCAGGTGGACTGATAGAAACAACTAGAACCTTCTTCGTAAAGACTTTTCCATTTGCAAGCGTTAGGTTGGTTCGTACCTCTCGGATGAGTAGTTATTGGGTTAGAACTTGAATTTGACTACGGTGTTGGCCCCACCAATCTCTGCTAGTAAATTTTCGAAGAAGTTGGAATGGGCCGTAGGCTCTGAGGGTTTTAGTGCGTCCCTTTTATCCGAGTTCCTTGGTAGGATCTCATTCTCCAGACTCAAGAAACCCGTGGTGCAAAAGCCTCTCATGGTCAGTCACCTTGCGTTCGGAGTATCTCACAAGCTAGGAGAGCTTTTTAAAAGCCTTTCCTCTTGGGTCTGATAATAATAGGTTTATTTGCAAGCTTATAAAGGGCGTACAAATCCAGACATGATTGCGTCATTACATATCGCGGATTGCGTTGTGAGCAAGCCACCATGCAGTTAACTTACTAGCTGTCTTTCTTACCGGCGGCGTCATTCCCATCGGTCGTCAACACTATCTCTGATCCTGACTGCAGCCCGTTTTTAACTGCGACTTGGTACGAATTTTGATATCCGGCAGTCCTTCGTTAGCCTAAAAGCATGTTCTGCTTGGTGAAGGTGCAAATGGGTGTTTCCTTTTGAACGACGAGTTAGTATTGCATTTTGTATAATATTTCGTTTTGTTCCCTTTTCTACTAGCCTCATTTAACTGCCTGTGCTGCACTCCTAAGACAGTCCTTTCTCACCCTCATGGATTTGAGTTGGCCCAACTCGTCAAGCGTCTTCGAAGAAGGATCTGGTTAGAAAACCTCACATTAGCTATGGATGACTTGTGCTGGCGTATTTGTCTCTCGTTCTTGCTGCTCACTCTACTTTCCGGAGCGCCAAAAATATTATCCCTTGAAACTTGTGACCGAACGGCACAGTTCAAGGCAAATAGCATCCTACTGCCGCAACATGCGATCGATGCAGGTGCAGAATTTCTTAAGAAGATTATCACCATTTCACTGAGGAGCTGCTACTTTTACTGTTGTCAGTTGGAATCATGTACCACTGCAATCTTCAAAACAAAGGTATATTTGCGCCTGTCGTGTGTCATTTTTCTCCCATCCCAAGGCTCCGCATGATTGTTTTCTTTTCAATTGTGGCCGAACCAACAGTTGCACCTACTCGGAGCGTGAGGGCTACGATGTGGTTACGTTGTCTCAAAAAACAGCCCCCCACTTCGGTAAGCACCTTTGACCCCACTAGCCACCTTTTCTCCCAGCTGGTCTTAATGAGCCTTGTGATCAGACCCGAACATGTTCCACCAACCATTCGATTTGTTCGAGTGGTCAATGTGTGTGCAAGCCGAATTGGATTAATAAAGACATGGAGTGTGGTAGGTGTCGATTCCTCGTGGTCCACGAAGCTGTTTCAATTCTGGTTTCAGTACGTTCTGTCTGTGAATCACCTACCCTCCAGTTCCAGTGCAACGATGCATCTACTTGCGTAGCTATTTACGATCGGTGCAACGGTATTATCGAGTGCCCGGATGGGTCCGACGAAGTGGACTGCGCATTTGGTGAGTGCATTTTTGTGCGGTGCAGTTAATTAGCAGTTGCCTCGTGAATAACAAGAGAAAATGCATTTGATGTTCAGAGGGTTTCATTGCGTTTCGATTCAGCGTGCTTTGACTTTAGGACTCTTGGGATGTAATATCTACGTATTTTCTGTTATAATGGCTCATATTTATACCTGACACCTGGGATGACGCTTCACTTTTTACTGCGCATCTGGTAGCAGTGCTGTCACAACTTTGACCCCCCTATTAATCACGATAATAAAGCTGCATGCATTGCCTCTGCCTGTTATAATGCTCATATTTATACCTGACACCTGGGATGACGCTTCACTTTTTACTGCGCATCTGGTAGCAGTGCTGTCACAACTTTGACCCCCCTATTAATCACGATAATAAAGCTGCATGCATTGCCTCTGCTAGACATATGAACCTGGTGTTTTCATAGCATTAGTTCAGGGTTTTACCTAATACGTGCACTCTCGTGCCGAGCAAAAATGTTCAAAGCCAGTGTACACGAATTTCGGTCAAGTACTTTAGTTATTGTACATCATTAGAAGACCGTTCCTCCTCATTCACCCGCTGGTTGGTAATGATTGAGATGTGTTGCTCCGCCGCACAACAGCCTGTACGCTGCTTACACACCTACCACAAAAGAGTTGTACATGTTGCTCAATGACCAGGTATGCGATCGATGATCAACTATCAGCTCACATAGGTCGCAGAGGCGAGATGGCTCAAGTGGTTAGGGGACGAATTTACTGGCCGTGGTTCGAACCCAACCTATGCTTCTCAACTGCCTCTATCTAGGCTTGGGCAACCTGGCAGTATCTCACTTCTCGTGCTTCCCCTAGGTGGCATGGCAGCTAGGCACCAGAAGGTTGTAACAGCTGGACGAGTTTTTACGCGTAGGTCATTATCCTTTTTGTCATCCAACCGACTTGAATCTCAGGTGCTTAAAACACTGTCGATTTCCCATCTGCGTTTCATTCAGTTAGTTCTGAGCATCCATGGTCACAAAGAGTAAACCCGTGCATTGTCATAGGCTTAATACCCCTGAATGTTTAGAGTGTAAGTGCGGCCACAGATATGCTGGAAATCCACATGAATAGCATTCAACGGGATAACGGAGTATACTTTAGTGTGCTGTGTATAAAATGGGATATGACGGTTCTCTGTGTGACAAGTAAACCAGAGCATTTTCGCGGTAAATCACTTACGTCTACAACTATACAGTTGATACTCATAGCATATCTGAAGAGAAGCCCCCACCTCACGTGAGACACCCCATAGGCGTACGCATATGGCCAGATAGTGTAAGATATTACTCAGCGTGGTCCATACAACGTTGGTCACATAAAGTCAGATCTAGCACCTTTGTGGTCTTTAAGCCACCCAGGACATAAAGGTGGATCTTTACTGCTAGAGATGAGAACAGCTTAGGACTTGAATTCAATGGTGTCCGAGTCGAATAGACTGGTGGCTGCGTTACTAATAAGCCGAACCCAGAAGACGTCTACCCGGTGTTCTATAGCCAGTCATGATTTGACTTGATTCTGTTCACACGATGGTGATTATGCAGTTGAATCAACACACACACACTTTTACCCATTACTGTCATGAGATGTTTATGAATATAGGATAAAGGCTAATAGATGATCCAAGTTACACCCTGAAATATACAACCTCCGTAGATCTCTTTGCTCTGGATATGCACAGATAATAGAAATGTATAAAGCGCGTGGGACAACCAGCAACAGGATGTGATAGGACTACTTGCGTGAGCTCCTGACAGTTTACGTACAGTGTGTGTAGAAGGGTATGTCACCTGCTGCTAGGCCATCCTCGTATGGAGGCACTATCTCTAGCAGGGTTCGTATTTAATTTAGTAGAAAAATAGCGACTTGACAGACGACTCCCATGCAGAGACTTTGTCTCTGGATCTTATTAGAGGAATGTATAAAGCAAGTTGTCGAACATAAAGTTCCAACAAGCTTCCAGTGGACTGTCCAAGTAGGTTACTATATATCTGCCCTAATTTCCATAGAAAATATAACCTACCAGTCATTAAGCTTCCATGTGTGTTCTTGAAGTAATGATGCAGAAACTTTGGTTGCTCCCATTGTTATATTGAGCATTGAGAGCTTTGGCTGGATGTATGGCATCTTGAATGCCCAAAGCTCTTGCGTTTTAGCTCTTAGAGTGTATTCCATGGCCACCGGTTTACTGGGCTCTGTGTAGCCATTACCTTACTCATCCAAAAACTCAGAAATACTGTTCTTTCCCCCTTAAAGGTCCATCCGAAAGTGGGAACCGGAGACTATCCACAGGTTCTAACTGCTTTCTGAGGTGGCGTAATTGGGCCACACTTTTCTAAAGCTCCCTTAATGATGCATCTTCTAAGTGGCGTGGACTGCCAGATGCCCCTTTACATGCACTGTGGGGTTCATCCCTCCAGTTTCACCCACTCGAGTTGACATTTATGGGTCGCAATTATGGACATGCTGATGGTTGTAGAACGACCCTATCCTGGTCATCCTACGGTCTTATTCCCTCGATTTTCCACCGGGCACGGGGCGTTCAGGTGGATGTGTGTGCTGCTGTGTGCGGGTGTCCATCGTCATAGTTCGACGTGATGGGCTCGAGATGGCTCAGTGGTTAGGGCGTGAGCTTACTGACTGGAATGTCTGTTTTCCGAACCCAGCCCCGGCATCTCGGTTGCTCTGTCTAAGGCTTTGAGTACCTGGAAGTATCCCGGCCTTGGTGCTTTCTTTAATAAGCATAGCAACTAGGCACAGAAAGAGTGCTATGGCTTAACATCTTGTTTTGATTTGACGCAAGGGGGCGAACCCGGAAACAGATGCCAGTCCACCGTAATCGGGGGTAGCCTGTGCTGGTTTGCCAACCCCCGATGCTGTTACTCCAGCCTGAAGTATTGGCTCCAACAAGTGATTGCTTTGCATCTTCTTCGTGGATGACTGGCACACGTAGGATTTGTAAGCACTTCATAGGCAATGTTAGGGGGTCTGGCGAGCATGACGTTATCGAAGATTTCGATGTTTGGAAGTAGAACGTACGCCATGTAAAGCGAGCAGGGAGTTCTCCACACACCAATCTATGTTGCAGATTGAAAGTTTCTGGTGAATGAATCTTCTGTAGATGACAAAAAACGGAACCATGTGAAAGCGTGTTTCCTTCCTAATCTAATTCGGAAACGTACGCATCAGGCTAATTACCCCGCTTGCCCTTCTTTTGAACTTCACAGTGCTCGGAAACCCGTTGGGATAAAATTTACCTGTGTTGATACAGGTAGATTTATTGAATTTCTGGGTAAGAAGATTGTCAAATACGTTACGGAAGAGCTTAGCTGTTCAGAAAAGGATTGTAATACGAAGATGATTCGGGATCACACCCAGTGATCCGTGTTTTATGAGCTCACTGAAAGCAGGTGCTCACCATGCCTCCCGGCTTCCTGCTTCTTTATGCTTCACTACGCTTTTATCCCAAGTTTTAGCCTGGTGAACTTTTAATTATAACATCGACCAGATGAACGCTGCTAGTTTTCGATAGGGTCCAATAATGAACAGTAACAAAAATAATCGTTTAGCTTTAGAACCCTTTCAGTGCTTGGCTACTGTATCATCCAAAGGAGACACGAGGGCTGAGATATTGCTAGGTTGCCCAAGCCTAGACAGGAGCAGTCGAGGTACTGGGTGTGGGTTTGAAACATGGACCTTCCGATCATTAACTACGCTCCTTGACCACTTAGCTTCCTGGAGCTCACTCGGGTTCAGACGGTTTGGTCCGACGAAACCTACCATCGTCACTGTAGTTCTCTTTTGGTTTCCTAATAATTAGCCTCTCCAAGATGTTTTGTTCGACCCAATTAACATCTAACGCTTGGTTTCCTTGTAATACCCTTTCTTATCGACTCGTGTAAGTCCTTGAATTTTTCAAGTTCATTAGCCTGTAATTCATAATCGAATAAGGAACATGGTCTTGAGTCGAATTAATGGCTCTTCAGAAAAGTTTTCTTGCGTCCCAACTTTCTTCATGTCAGTTTTTTGGGGTCACTCAGTATTTCGTCTACGTCATCTTCAATTGAAACTATCGTCCATTCTGGTTCGTAGCTTCTTCTGACATGCCATCCTCGAAAACGACGCTCAGTTCCGGAAACCGCACTCATTCATTGGTTCCTTTGGTGGCGAACAACTCACCACGTCCTGTCAGTGAAGTACTCTCAAATTTCAATGACCTATCGGGGTTTCGAAAACATTTACACAAAAACCCAGCTGATACTGTGTACAATGCGAAGGGCTCAAATTTCCCCACACCATTTCACGAAAGGCGGCGAGCTGATACTATACGTACACCGCCACCCATATGGGAAAGTACTGATGCAACCTCTGATGTATTGACTGAGTACCGTCCCCGAAGCCTGCGGTTTTCCACGAGACCCCATCCGGTACGCAACGGCATGTTGGATTGGTCTGAAGGACAACCGTACTCTGGCGAATATGAACCGGATCCCTATCAGCCACGAAACTCCTTCGACGAATACCCCTATTTTGGAGATTCCCATCTGCGAGGTGACCGTAAAGCCACAAAAATAAACCCGGGGCATGGAAGATCTCGTACGTGGTCTTCATTATATCCAGACACCTATGCCACCCACATTGATCCCGAACGTCGGTTTCAAAGGTTTCCCATTCGGGATTCTTCATTAGACGAAGAGTATCGACCACACAATTACTTTCCAAGCGACAACATTCCAGAAGAAGAGCTCATTGATTCCAGTGTCATAGCTGGGCTACCAGTGAGCGATTGGGAACGTTCTGGCCCAAGTCCTCGAAGCGGACGGTTGTACTCACTGCGACGCAATGTTCAGGGTAAGAACTTGTGCCCTTCTTGAACTAGCCTAACGATCTCATGGCATCTTTCTTAAATGTTCATCCTAGGCGACGAACAAAGTAATTTAATGGCTATGCACATCAAGATTTGTTTTTCACTTTTGTACTTGTATACACAGCCAGTGCAGCATAACCACGAAGCCATTCCCCCAGATGCCTGTTTCCCCACCAGCAGTCGAATACTCCCATCAAGTGCTATTATTTATGTGTGCTAGACTACTGAACTATGTATCGCGTAATTTTTCACTTCTCTCGAGATCTTTCTGAAGTTTCATACAAACGATCGTTCTTTTTCGTTGAAGGCCCATGTGTCGTAATAATGTATACTTCCCTTCAATGTTCAGTACCAACTTCCAATTGATTGCTCAACTTGGGCTGAAGGGTATGATCATAAGGCTTGGTCGAACGAAGTGGTGTGGAAAACGGAGTGTTGATGCCTGTGAAATAGGACGGCCCATCTGTAGGTATTTGCATGCAGGCAAAAATCAATATGGAAGCTTCAAGGGCAAAAGGCATTCAGCCATATCTTCTTAACGGAACATACTACTTATAGGCGTGCTGAAAATCCTTTTGCAAATCACGACCGGTTCAACCCTTCCGGAGGCTTATCAGGTAGGCGCAGTTCCCGAGTTTCTGTCAAATTTATGTTTTACTTGAACCCAGATTGCACGCAATTTGGTTCTTTTGATATATGAGGTGGCCTGGTGCAGCACACTAGTAATCAATAATAACGATCTAGCCTGTACACCCTTTCGGTACCCAGCTGCCATGTCACCTAAAAGAAGCACGGTTTCTCAAGACTAAACAAGAGCAGTTGAGATACAGGAATTGGATTCGCACCGTGAACCTTGTGGTCAGTAAGTTCTTGCCCTAACCACAGCTATCTGGAGCTTATTCAGCGCATCCATTTGAAGAACATCGTAAACGAGATAATGGGCTGTATTAAGCCTCTCCTTAATCAAATTGGCGTGCAAAACAGTGTGCTTCGAGGTATTCGGTTTAATTGCGAAGAAATTGCGCCAAAAATAGTGTTTTCCTTCTGAAGGGAGAGTCCGATTGGAGACCGTCACCTCCAACATTATTTTTCATAGATTTTCCTTGTCAGTAGGCCAGCAAATGTTTCAGCCATACCGTTATTTGAGCACTGTAGCTTCATCCATACTTACTTACTTACTGGCTGATAAGTGGACACACGAAAAACAAACAGAATTGTCCAGGCCGGATAAGCTTTTTTTCTTTATATATGAACCAGAAATACTTCTGTTGAATTCTCCTTTTTGGGCAGTGACTTTGCAGACAGTTGGAGGCGTTTTCGGCCGTTGTCCGACGTTATATACATGCTCCAAATAAACGAAGCTTGAAATGAACCGTTTCATTTGTAGATAAAACTATTTGTCGGAAGTGATGGTTCGATGCTGTCTGCAATCGTTCAGTCTGAGTACCACTCGTCTAGAAATTGTCGTTTCATCTTGTACGGTGGTTTAAGGTGTTTTCGAGTGCCGGTCACCTTAGGAGTTTGACTTTGAGCATCCCAAACCTAAACCACAGCCCGTCTTTCTTATATGTAGTGATTTTATGGGTTATCCAGACTAAGCTACTCTGTTTACTTTTTACGCATGACCATTTTCTTCTTCCAACTCTTTGCGTAGTTGACCAATCATCCGCGTGGTCTCAATGGATCGACAATGGTCGTGTAAGGGTCTCGCTAGCATGTTCTTACCCATCATTTTCATTTTGTTTGGTAACATCAAAAACCTAGGGAAATTATAATTTGTGGAATCGGATAGTCACACATCTGAAATTCCGAACCGTTCTGTCAAGGAGAGGGTCTTTCTGTGGCGGACAGTGGGAAAAACAACTTGCTTGGGACTGGATGCGTTCAGTTGAAGAACTTAAGTAGCCTTTGTGGTTTCTGAACCCTCTGAATGTGATTATATTGGGCGCAGGTCGATCCGTCTATCCTTTTTCGATTAAAACTCCACCCCTCTTTTAGGCTGCTTTCTCATACCTCGTCAGTTCGCGTCAGTGACAACATTATCGGCGTTTTTTTCCACAGATATGGACGGAGGTGATAGACGAGGTTCGTCACCTGGACATAATTTCCATTCCAAAGTTTCAGCGAGTCCTGGTAAGTCTCTTATTTTGTTTATTATCGCGGGGTTGGACTATATTTTACTCCCACCGTCATCGATTTGGCACCCGCCATTGCACTCATTGAGTTTACCCATTTGGAACTGGTACTCTGGAGAATCACCTTTTGCCCAGAATTCCTCATTCTTTTCCATCGTGTACACAAGAAAACTAGGAAGGCGTTCACTTCTGTATTCTTGAATTTGTGAGTTATGGATTTGCCGCCGTCTGGTGCCTATCTTTACGCCATGTGAGTACTGGTCAGTTTCAAGTCTGTTCCATTCCTGCTTGGGCTACATTACTTGACTGCAGGCCAATTAGTCATATTCCCCTACGGACTGAAGCGCATTCAGGGTCCAATCCACCTTAAGGTGGCTGCGTGACGACGTTGTTGAATAATACCTCCGTAAATTAGCGCGTTCAAGCGACGAACTTCTTTCTTCGAAAGCTCAAAGCCTCCACGGTCTGTGTAGACAAGCAACAAAATTTTAACTCATTGATTTTCCCGTAACAAACGTGTTCCATGGCTCTCAAAAACCACTGCTTCTTGGACAGGTAGAAGCGTTTGATCCTTGCAGATCACTTTTCAGGACGTACTGCTCCGATCAGGACCCATCTGGTGGACTCGGGAAAATTCGATCTCTAGATGTTCGAAGTTGAAGTTCACTTTCTTAAACCAAACCGGACGCTGCCTCGGGCCTCGTTTGTACGCAATCAAGCCGATGGATTGCTTGTTTCATTTATTAGGTTCGGCCGTCGCTCTTCTTGACGCCGCAGTGCGGTACATCTTGAACTCTATTGGTTTGCTTATTTGCCTTAGAACTGTTTTAGTTTATCCCTCTTTAGAGAACGCACCTTGGGACAAGATATTAGAAGGGCGGATGTTAGTATGGTTGTGAGGCACAGCACGATCGCTACTATCGATGGTGGTCATTACGACGCTAAGAATGGACAACTGAAGAGGCCGGATCCCCTATTTCGTACATCCGTATTGTGATGTGTCGTGAGATCTCCGGAGAAAATTCGGATACTTCACTCAAGCGGGAATATCGCCGGGAAAGGGGCTGTTTGGTCCCTCACGAAGTTTGTCTCTCCTTTGATGGGTTCCGAATTTAATCCTGGCCGATGGAGAACGCTCCCAGTGATCCCACAGAGTGGTCCATCTTCCGATGGATTTGTTATGCTCGGTTACTCTAGTTGGTTTTCTGTTTTCATAATAGTTTATAGGTGTCCTGTTATACATTTATCCATGTGATAATGCAGTGAACGTCCCAAACTGAGGAATTTCACTCCATTCGAGCCACTGAATCGTCAGTTGGGCGGGACCAAAGTCTGGTTCAATTTCTGTTTATTCGCAAACACAAAGATGAGTGCCAGGGATGCGCAAACGCAAATTCCAGTTAAGGTAACAGGTTATCAATAAGAAGTTCCCATCCACTGTTTGATCGCTTACCATGATGTTTTTGCGAACCTATAAAACGAGCTTCGTAAACAGATCTAGAACGTAGGTGACCTGGATCGCTTCAACGGATTATCGCCATGCTATTTTCAACGCCATATTGTGACCGAATTGATTTTGATCTGTCAGTTGACTGTCCTGGTTGTGAGCTTACCCTGGCTTGTAACCACTCTATTTTGCTGTGTTATAATTTTCATGGACGAGACAATATCGTACCCATGGGTTTGGAGACTTATTGGTTCATACACTAATTACTCGTTAAGGAGTATTCGTCTTCAGGTGTTAGCGGCCTTATCCGCCATACTGTTTCCCGTTCTTCAGCTGCCTCGATCAACTTGACCTTAACACCCAAGACCGACAGACATCGAAAACAAATAAAACCGTTTTCTCATTGCTTTAGGATACTCCTACTAGCCCGTCGTTTGAATACGTCTTCCTAGTTTGGTTAGTTCACTTCAAGGGTGGGTTTCCGTCAAGTTTCATTACGTTGAGACATTCAGGCTATGTAATATAAAGCAGACTATTGAAGTTTTCCGTATGGGCGTTTACTAGTGTCCTGGTCGGCATCGTTGCACCAATCCACGCTAGGAGAATCAATCAGCAGTGAGCTCTTTGGCCATTACAATACTGTGACTGTTTTTTTCTCTGCTCTTTGGCGCTCGCGCGAGCATTTGGTGGCGGTAAACAGACTCCAATGACATGTACGGATTTTAGTCGTGGGGCTCGTTCCCGAGTTTCCACAGAGTATTGAGGCGGTTCAGTTACTCGAGATCTACCAGAACAACCCATTACGCATGACTTCCGGGTCAACTTGCCTGGTACAACGATGGTCAGAGTCGAAAGGTCTCAAAAAACGATCCGTCACTAGATTATTGAAGAAGAGTATACTTTCCACCGGATGATAGATATCGGCTTCTGTGATGAAACGAATGTACAACGCCAACTGATGTCCCTCTGTAAGGCTTTTCCTGTTTCCATAGTGAGCACAGTATAACGTGTCAGTAGCCCGTACTGGAAATAGCCAGCAGTTGAGGTCAGTTGGTTTGTTTCGTACAACGCGATGGTGCGCCCATTTGCACGACCGAGCCAACCAGATCTAAACAGACCTAATGAGCACATCCTGGAAGTAAAAACCGAGGAATGGGGGCATTTCGAACTTGGAAACAATTCATCCACTTCGCCCTTGCTACAGAAGAGGCATCCCAGTAGCTACCTGAAGCGGAACAGACAAACAAACAAACCCGTATAGCAGGTTAGCGTCCCTTTCCGGATTCTCTTGTCCCATTGAACCAAGCTAACCGACACTCCTTCGGAATAGGTAATGCTGTATGTAGTTTGTGCTAAGTCATATGTGCGTTTGGCTGAGCGCCCCTTACCCGTTTGAAATCCGAGGAACTAAGACCGGAAAGTGAGCAGAAGGAACAGTTCCAAAAGCGCCAGTATGCCCGACTATTCGTCTAGAGACAACTGAACAGTGAAAACAGTACATGCGAAGGATAGCTTGGTATCCCACCTTCGATTCTAGCTAGTATTAGCTAGTAATCCTTTCGAACCGCTTGGCGATGGTCACAGGAAATCATCTTCGGCATCACTGCAGGTGTAACACTCCAAAATACCGTAGTTTCAGGGCAAATCCATTCACCAGGTGCAATGCAATGAAATGTAGTATCGAGGTGGCTCAACTGGTTAGAACGCGAATCTACTGACCGGAAGGCTCGTGGTTCGAATCCGACCTCTGCCTCTCGACTCGGCCCTGTCTAGGCTTGGGCAACTTGACAGTATCCCAGCCCTTGTGATTCCTTCTAGTGTCATGGCAGCTAGGCACTGCTGCAGCTGAGCGATTTTTTTACATGCTGCAATACGATACGACACAGCGCGGTACAAACAATATATTGCTGTATGTTTTGGATGTAACCCGCCCACAGTACGGATGGAGAACAAACGCACAATCCTGAAGATATACCCCACATAGGTTTTCCAGGCTCATAACCAACAGAGTTAGTCTTCTGCTTCCATGTTTCAGAGTCTGATTCTGGCGCTTGGTTTAAATAGAGGATGTCAGTAAACCCACATGTACCACGAAAAATTTCATAACGTCCGTGTTTTCCATATTTCTGGTTAATCCTCCTGCGCCACCAGTTCTGCTCATTAATTATATTGATCTAATAGGTGACAAAATAAGAGGAACACCAGGCCTATGGGCATTTTACATGTGTTTGATTTGAGGAAGGGGGGTTGCAGTCGGTCTCTTTTGGTCACGGGATTCCAATGGATTAACTCTTTTGCATGAAAAGTTTCCTTTCCCAGATGGTGCGTGAAAAGCGTGTTCTCACATGGTTTGTGCGCTTGCCTCAGTGCTCATGTACACACGCGCTTACCCGATTGGAAATGGATGCAAGGGTGAAGGAATATGGATGTTGTACACTTGCCCAACATACAGTAGGACATACGAAGTTGTCTGTTCCGTGAATAAGACTTTTGAGAATAGGTGTTTGCTACTCACGGCTTCCCATCTGGTTTGTTCGCGCGATATCCAAAGTGCTTGAGAGTAGTAGGTTTATTATTGGCCAGTCCACTAGTCTAGTATGAGGCATCATCAAGATGTGCTGTATTTCGTGAAATAAATGATTTCACTAAAATCTGAATGTACCATAATCTTGTGGTTTGATGTTGTCATCATTTATCGTGGGCACCGGAAATGACTTACTGAAGCTTTGTGACCTGCGTGCCTATCTACCCATTTTACCACGGAAGAACATAAAAAGGAAATCTGTCTATATGCCATCGCATGAGGACACATTACAGAATGCGTCTGACTGAAATTTTCAAATGGCTTGGAATTGAATGCAGTTTGTTTTCGTGTATTAGAAACGACAAGGGTGAGATTTCGCACTCCCTCTGATCATCTTATTTGTTTATTTATTGAAGATGTACTTCCACCGATTCATGCTATGCGCTTCCCATTTTTGCAAGCTAAAAGGACAAGCGTTATGTTGTCCTTCTAACTTCGTCCATATCTGTCGTAAATCTGTATCTTCGGGATTTGTCGAGTCAATATCGGAGTACGTGATGTATCCAGTTTTTCCGTTATTGACACGGCTTTTATGTCTGCGTTTTTTTTCCATTTTTGCAAGCTAAAAGGACAAGCGTTATGTTGTCCTTCCAACTTCGTCGATATCTGTCGTAAATCTGTATCTTCGGGATTTGTCGAGTCAATATCGGGAGTACGTGTGTATCCAGTTTTTTCGTTATTGACACGGCTTTTATGTCTGCGTTTTTTTTCAGCAGTAGACTATTTTCGCTGACCACGAATTTTTGCATCTTATCCCTTATAAACCCTTAGCTTCAACTGAATCGACAGCGCCTCCCCCAACAGCGAGTCAGTCTTCTGTCAATAACGCTGACGCACCAGTCTCTCAAAGAAGTCAGAGTGAGAGCCACACTGCCGCCCTCCTTCTGGCCTTCAGCTTGGGTCTAGTGTGCTGTTTTGTCGGCCTTTTAATCCTCGAGTGGCGTCGGCGTCGTCGATTGCGACGGTGGGCCACAGGCTTACGTGGAAATGGGGTTCCAGTATTGTTTGGGGACAATGGTAAATTGGCCTCCACAAGAAGTCGAACCGCGCGACGGTCTAGGCATCGCATTGGAGACATAGGTACTTCTGTGGGTGTGGAAGAGGAGAACAAAGCACTATGTGATGGCTTAATCTTGTGATTCGTATTCGTCTCTTTATTTGTCCTCGTTTCACTCAACGGTCCATTCTTGTGACCATCTGTCTTGTCCTGTTGTGATATGCTTGCCCCACCTTTGTCTTTGACGGATTCTTTTCACTCGCCATTTCCACATACCCATATGTACCAAACCCTGGTATCTCTACTATTTTCTCCCTTTACTTCATTCAAATTTGGTGCAATAGATTCATCCTTTCTGGCCAGCTCTGCATTTCCCGAAATATACTGTCATATGTCTCACCTGTCTGTTTTGTCTCGGCTTTTTCAACAGCATGAATACATTGCCCTCAAAACGCACAAAATAGAACCCCTCTTAGATTGAACCATATTTTTCGCCGCCTCACTGAGGTAGGTGTAAGGACTCCGAGGCCTTACGTTCGAAAGACGGACAGTTTTATCATAGAACTTGGGCTGTCTTTGAGCGTCAGCAATAAACGAAGCCTATGATTGATGCCTTCCTTTCAATTGATGATTAGGTTGCTTTGGGCAGCACACTCAAGTACATACTCCCCGGACTTTATTTTTCGGTTGTTTTGGCCACAATTTGTGTTTTCACTGGCTTGTTTCTTTTCTTCCGTTTGATTAGTTTATCTGCCTACGACCTATTGAGCGGCCGCCACTCTCATCACGCTTCTTCATATTCGGGTGTGTCAGCCTTACCTGTCCGTTCCGCGCTCTTATGCTAATTAACTTATACTTCGGCAAGTATCAGTGATTAAGCATTAACATACAATCACTAGCAACAGGAATACAAAATGATAGTTTCGAATTCAGATATCAGTGTGATGTTCTATCGAATGAACCAATAAAATGTTTGGCTACATGACGGAATTATCTTACTCTGAATGTAAAGCGGTGCCTTGGACATCATTATCATCGACAGCATGACCACTAGCAACATACAAAATGATAGTTTCGAATTCAGATATCAGTGTGATGTTCTATCGAATGAACCAATAAAATGTTTGGCTACATGACGGACGGAACTTACTCTGAATGTAAAGCGGTGCTTTGGACATCATCATCATCGACAGCATGACATCAGTGTTCAACACCGATGCTTCACTGCCGTACAACCATGACTTATTTGAAAGCCTTATTGTAAAGAAAAGA